AGAAATTAAGCTTTGTAGATGGATAAATTTGAAGTGCTCCATGCTGGTCTGGTAGTTATAACAATTAACAAGGTTACTTTACTTTCTCTATGCCTTTATATTTTTAGTATCATTTCTTACCCAGGCAGCATAGGGATAAATGATAAAATGACTAATGTGAGCTAGATTAAAGTATATCATCTATTCCCTCTGCTCCTAATTAGTATCATTTATTGTATGTAAAGCAAATGCTAATGCTGAAGATATTTCCCTTCTTGCATCCATATTGAAGTTAACGAGTGTTTCGCCACCACAAACAATTAAGTGTCTAAGTAACAGTGATTCATGTTGTTTGAAAACCACAGGAAGTTCTTTTGTGTGTGATGGATACGAGTTCTTGATCAGGTCATCGACCCTTTTCAAAAACTTAAATTTTGTTTACTCTTTCAGACTTTGCTGTATTACATTATGAAAAGTCAGCAAACAAATTACAAAGTCTCCAAGTCAAGCTCGTGCACTTTTCAGGCTTGCTATCTCTAAGTTTTTGCAATGGTTTTGACGTGTTAGCAAAGGGGTGTATATCTGTAGTTATGACACTGTTGTTTATGTTTATTTTTGAAGAGATTTAGTTGATTTAGGGTCATTCAAGGGTCCACCATTGCAATCTTGCTCATCTGAAATTTTATCGAATAAGAGTGAAGAGGTCATTTGTACCTTCAATTTTCATGCACTTAGTTTTATTTCATGTCTCAATCGTTGATGCAATGTTGCAGGGGGCTAGAAATAAACGAAGTATCTATAAAATTGCAGCAGAGTTTAATAGAATTCGAACACTTAATTTAAGATATAAGATATGTACTTTGTTCAAATCTCTATGGCCCTTACAATGCTGTTTTAAGTGAGTTGAATATTCTCGATTTTCTATTTAGAATTGTTTCTCTCCAGCCCTTAACCTTGACCATCTGCTTGAATTTTCATGACATTACTCTTTGATGCTATCTTGTTGTATGAAGATTCTAAACCTTATGTTTTTCAAAATGAAATTTATAATAATTAGTAACAGATGGATCAACAGAGACCTGTAATGAGGAATGGTTTCTTCATTGCATATTTCCTAAAAGTGTAACTTATGTTGAGCTTCAATATCAGTCAAGTTATGTGTTGCAGATGACTTTTCACCTTATCTTTAAAGATAGGGATTTAGGTAGTTAAAAGGCAAATATCCTTTTGTGAAACCTGTTAAGAGAAAGATATGATTCAATCTAACCTCATACATAGACCCTGGAAAAATGGTTGAGTTCGAAGTGTTGGAGATCTGACCAGAGCTTTGAGCATAATTTAAGAAAAGCTCTGAGAGGGCTCTGACATTTGCAATGCTACCTTTACAGAAGATAAAGATGATATCATCCGCATATAATGTATGAGAAGGAACTTGAAGAGCCATCGTACCTGACATAGGTACTAACCTACCTTCACTAACCAATTTGTTGTATAGATCTCTCTGATGTCGTAATTTATATACATGAAATGCGTAACGACATACGTAAGCAACAAAAACCACATTACACATGCAGTAGCGCAATCAATGAAACCGGCAATCGATGATGCGGCATGCTTCAATCACAACGTTAAAGCAAAATGCTAATGCTGAAGATATTTCCCTTCTTGCATCCATATTGAAGTTAAAGAAAAATATAAGAGTGAGAGTGACATATTTGTTTTTGTTTATTGTGAACAACTAGTATCTTAATTATTAAATACATACATATAGTGTTGTGTGAAGTGTAATTAATCAGAGATTATCATTCTTAAACATCAACAACAAATGGAGGAATCAATATTTGTCTTCTTATCACTTCTACTACTTTCTTCAGTGCTACAAAGGGTACACTCACATGGAAATCATCCACTGTCAAAAGTTGCTATTCATAAATCAACATTTTCCCTTCTTCACCTTGCTCATATCAAAGCAACTCCATCACTTCTGGGATTACAAGTAAGTTTCAGCAATTTTTTATCTAATATAACTTCATAATTTCACTAGTATAATTTTCAATAACTTTCATTGGTAATTAATTATACCAAGTTATTTTTGCTTCTAGATTAATTTTCATGCTTATTTTCTTATTGTTGATGCTAGTTTAGTTGATTCTTTTGTAGGGGAAAACTTCAGAATGGATAACTGTAGAATACAGTTCTCCAATTCCTTCAATTGATGATTGGATTGGAGTCTTTTCTCCTGCAAACTTTAGGTCAAATTCAAATATCTGTTCATATCTATACTATATAGCTACAAAACTGGCTTTCAAATTCTAGTCCTTTCATAAATTCTATATATCAGTAACTATCAAGCTTGATTGGCTTTTAGTGATTCTACATGTCCAAAAGAAAATGGTAGGGTTTATCCACCACTTTTGTGTTCTGCACCCATTAAGGTACATGTGTTGGATGTAACCATTAATCTCAGTTGTTTTTCTTGAAGCCTGAAAAGCTTAAGGTTGAAAGAATTGAAGTGATGGTCTAATGTATGTGTTTTTTATTGGACAGTTTCAAAATGCAAGTTACTTGAATCCTCGGTACAAAACAACTGGAAAAGGGCTTTTGAAGCTTCAGCTTATTAATCAGAGATCAGATTTCTCATTTGGACTGTTTTCTGGTGGCTTGTCAACTGTAAGCCCATCATTAGTTTGAAATTCGTTGATTCGCGTTATTTACCAATTCTAGGATCATGGCTGACATACATTTCTTTTGGATTTTCGCACATTTGAAAATTTGAATAATAATCCTCTAATTAGTAATTTGTATGTTTGGATCAGATTTCCCAATTATACAAATTCAAATTATTATTTAAATTCCCTCGGAAGCTTCCGATTTTCACATCTATCATAATTTAGCTAAAATGCAATCGTTTATTTGTTTCTGTTTACCTGTTGATAGCCGAGGCTGGTAGCAGTGTCCAATAAAATTGCTTTTGCAAATCCAAATGCACCAGTTTACCATCGTCTGGCACTGGGAAAGACATGGAATGAGATAAGTTCAACTTCTTCTGTCATAGATTGCATTACTGTAAAAATGGTTGTTTTACTTTTTTCAAAATTAAAATATTATCATTTATCACTTAAAAACAGATGACTGTAACATGGACAAGTGGATACGGGATTAGTGATGCTGAGCCGTTTGTTGAATGGAATCCAAAAGGAGGGGATCATGTACATTCACCTGCTGGGACACTGACTTTCACTCGTGACAGCTTATGTGGTAAGTAAGCCAAGCCTTACCTTTGAATTTGTGCACTTGATATATATTATGTGATTAATTTTTCTTACTAATCCAAATTCTTGTCCGACACACTTCTGATACATCATATATCCTTAACAAGTGCTTAGGCCATGCCACCGATAGAATCATCAGTTTTACTCAACATGTTTTGTTTAATTGAAATTTTTTCCAACAATGTTTGTCATCATCGCAAACAGGTGTACCAGCTAGATCAGTAGGATGGCGTGACCCTGGATACATTCACACCAGTCATTTGAAAGAACTGTGGCCTAACAGAATGTATGTTATTTCTAGCTTATGCTGACCTATTTATATGCACTTTTTAGCATATCATGTTGTGTAATCTTTTCTATTTAATGTTAATAAGGATGTTCTTGTTATGTCATGATATATGTTCCAATTAAACTAAATCAAAGTTCTTTGTGCTTTCTGCGTGTTGTGTGTTGTGTAGATATGAGTACAAGGTAGGACACAGACTCAATAATGGAACATACATTTGGAGTAAACAATATCAATTTAGAGCAGCTCCCTTTCCCGGGCAGAAGTCTTTGCAATGTGTAGTTATATTTGGTGATATGGGGAAGGTTTGAACTTTGAACTGTTAGATTAAAAAAAAAGTTATGACTGATAATGGATTGCATTTGTTGCAGTTTCAAGTTTCTAGTTTCTGATCAACTATTTAGATTACAATTCTTTGCCTGCAAGATATATTGAGTTTCTTCGTTCGACGTGCTTATGAGATTCTATTCGCTTGGCTGTGAACTGTAATTGTATTATCATGCAGGAGGAAGTTGATGGTTCCAATGAATACAACGACTTTCAGCATGGTTCAACTAACACTACCGTGCAACTTATCCAGGACTTAGAAAACATTGACATGGTTTTCCATATTGGAGATATAAGTTATGCAAATGGATATCTTTCTCAGTGGGATCAGTTTACAGCACAAGTGGAGCCAATTGCATCAGCTGTGCCTTACATGATTGCAAGGTTTTTTTGTGGCATACTTCAAAAATTAGTCAAGGAAGTACTTTTCTTTTAATAACAAAATGAAATTCTAATAATGCGGTTTTCCAGTGGGAATCATGAGCGTGACTGGCCCGGGTCAGGATCCTTTTATGGGAACATGGATTCTGGAGGAGAATGTGGTGTTTTGGCAGAGACTATGTTCTATGTCCCTGCTTCAAACAGGGCTAAATTCTGGTATGGCAGACACTATTTTACTTGTTTTCTTTTTAGAGTGAATGTTACCTTCTGTTGGATTAAAAAATTTGCATTGATTGAGTGGTGAAACTTAATATGATTGAAAGGTGAAACATTCACTGTAAATTGATGTTACATTTTTTTTACTTTTGCTTGCTAGGTATTCAATTGACTACGGCATGTTCCATTTCTGTGTTGCTGATACTGAACATGACTGGAGAGAAGGAACAGAGCAGTACAAGTTCATCGAACATTGTTTGGCGTCGGTTGACCGACAAAAACAGCCGTGGCTAATCTTCCTTGCACATCGGGTACTTGGTTATTCTTCTTGTATTTGTTATGCAGAAGAGGGATCATTTGCTGAACCAATGGGGAGAGAGAGCCTTCAAAAGCTGTGGCAGAAATACAAAGTAGACATTGCCATCTATGGTCATGTGCATATCTCTAAGTAAAGACTTCGAACGCATATAACAAGCAATATAGTGCGGAATTCTGAAACATAAAAACACACAATTACCCCAAAATAGTACAGTTTGTGGTCAGCTAATACTGAATACCTGTGCATCTAAAGATGTGCATGTCAATTCCAGAGCCAACTCCAATGCTCGAAATTCAAAGGGAAGATCATCTGTTCAAAAACAGAAACACGGTAAGCAATTGTACACAGTAATTACCTCAAACAAAAAACTTCATAATTACAAAGCAAAAAGAGGAAGAATCCTTACCAGATTTTTCTTTCCTGAGCCGATTGCATAATTGTGACCTGTACCGACCAACAGTACCATCCAATGAATTCATCAGAATTACTTCATCCGCAGTGATTATACACCGGATTTGCTCAAGGTTAACAACAATAGCCATCTCCCTTCCTAATATGGAAGAAGTATAAATGAACATGGGATCCAACAATCGAAGATCTCTAGAAGGCAAAGAACAATCTCTCATAATAGTAGCCTTGTCGAGCGTCACAACCTCAGAATTTCCATCCTGATCAATCTTTATCCAAGACCGACTCACATGACCTCTCTTCTTCAGATCTGTTATACCAGTCCTATGATTCCCTTGCCTGTTAAAGTCATCCTCGGGTAGATCGGAAACATAATCCTCGCCATGTGTTTCTTCCATTGCATTGTACATTTTACTCACCCGCAGTTCTGGATCTGATACAAGTACTTTTTCACCATTAACTAATCAAGTATTCATTTCCACAACAACCTTTCATCAATAAACGAGGAAACAATTATAAAAAATATGAAATAGTTGAATTGAACATAACTGAAGTAAATGTAACACTAAAAATCACAACTTTAATTAATATCTTGAACACCCATTTTCCCTACTCAATTGTTTCCCTTAGTTTCAAACAAGATAGAACCTTCTACATACATACCAGTGATACCGCTACTCAAGTTACCAATTTTAAAACGGCGTGTTCAAAACCAGCGAATAATTGTGAAAAAATTGGAAACCCCTAAAAGAAAAACAGTAGTAACCTGAACAATATGTTCGAGTGTTGAATACTGCATGTGAAGGATTTCCCTTCTTGTTGAGAAGAAAGGTTGAAGATTATCGATCGGTGAATTACCATGAACTTATGATTATAAGTTTTCAGGTAGAATATTCAGGTTTTGAGTGATGATTCAAGAAAAGGGATGGTCCAATGCACAAGGTAGGAGTAGACAAACTCAACCTTAATCTAGTGAGTTGATAGTTTGTTTCTTGACTAAAAACCATGTGCCACCAAATGATAAGGCAACAACTTACCCTATGAAAACAAGTCTTTATTTTGAAAGAGACTTACTAATTTTTAGGTGAAAGAGGAGTAGGTTGTTCATTAAATCAACAGAAATAATAATTAGGAAATTAAAAAACTACTTAAGAAAAGGATCCAAGAACGAATTTATGTTCAATATTTTGACAATATGTTTAAGGAATAATTACAACTATCTTGAGGTTCACATTACTTGTTATTTTTAAGCGTCTGTTTGTTTGGTTGAGAAAAAAATTCAATTATTTCAGAGTGGAGACAGAAGCAAAATCCTCACAATTTAAGCTCCCTTCCAACATTAGCAGGATTTGGAAAGGAGAGGTGTTTATAAAATCTTAAAGTGTTGAACGTAACAACCTTAAGTTGAATATTGTAAGGGTTTAAAATGTAAATAAGTATTTATGTTCTGCATTAAAATATCTTCCCTCCCTCTAACCAAACAACAGTATATCTTATTAAATCTCTCCTCTTTGTTCCCCTTTCCTCCACTAAAATCATTCTTTTGTTTGAACAAAACAGGTCAACAACAACAACAGTCAAACCTTATCCCACTAAATGGAATCGGCTACATGAATCACCTTTTAAAAGATAGATCATACATTAATTTTTTAGAGTAACAAAATAAATTCTCTGAAAAATTAATTTATGATCTATCTATTAAATAAGGAAAATATGTGTAATTTCATTTCATAAAAAAAATGTCACGAGTTAACACTACTGAGAATTAGGTAGGTGTCGATTTTTAAAAAATCAAGAATCTCATAATAATTAGTGTGAACCCCACCAGAGATCAATGTATATTTGATGTTTAGTTTTACATATTGTGTAATCTATAGCACAGATGAACACCTCCGTACAACATTTAATCTCATTTGTTTACAACTCTTTCCACATCCAAAACAAACCTAATAGAAAATTCAATGATTTCTGATGCTGCATGCCTACTCACATTATCTATTAAACCAAGTTAAATGGGACACATGATTTTGAATCCTTTATACATATGAGGGAAATCTGTAAGAGAACCACCACTAACCTGTACAAGTTTGCTAAGCTTTGGTTTCGAAACTGATAAATAGCGTTCAATTTTCTCTTGTGTCTGAGGTATATGTACCCGATTTACTGTACCAGTTACTTTATCAGTAACCTTCTTCACAATTGCTTTATAATCTTCTTTGGAGACTTTACCATCTTTCCAAGTTGGTTTTAGGATCTTCTTAATGAGCTCTACCAACGAAGTTTTAAATGCACGAATCCCCTTTACATCCTTTAATTTCTTGCCCTCATCAGGTCCATCATTTTGGCCCGTGTTTACCAGAGGACTATTCTCTTCCGTAATTTTATTCTCAGATTGAGAGATTGCCTTTTTTTCGGCGTCCATTTTGCTAGTCTCCTTTTTACAAGAATGATCAAAATTTTGTCCCAGGTTAGATAACAGTGGTGGAATTCTGGCTGTATCTTTTGGAATCTTTGTATAAGGAGAAAAGGTTGGAGAGACCCCACTTGCATTAATATTCTTGGGCTCCATACTATCACACATTGGATCATATTGCTTCGATGATTGCCCTTCAATTTTGCTTACGAAGAGAGTGTCCTTTGCATCACAAGAATTTATAGTAGAGTGAAGTTGTGTGAGCTGCTGATTTGTTCCGAGGAAATGTGCAAGAGAGGCTGAGAGGCAGCTAAGTTGTTCTTTGCTGACTACGTTCTGAATTGGAGTATTTCCTGAACCAATTTGCATTAAGCTTGCATTCATAATAGTTGGTTCTACAGTGTAGTTTGTATTAGTGAAGAGCTCCTGGTTCTGCATGCCTTCAATAATTCTTGATCTTGGAGGAACAATGGAAACTGTTGCTTGACTCTGTCCAACCACATGCAAAGCAGTTACATTCTGAGCATTCTGATTTAGTCCTTGTCCTGTCAAAAGAGTAGAAAAGTTAAGGTTTAGGTATGAATCAGCATATTCTTGTAATGTAACAGCACAATATCCTCTGTTTTTCCACATGCATTATTAAATGATTTTTTCAACAGACCAATGTTTCTCAATAAACAAACAATTACCTGGAGCACCTTGTTGCTTATTCTGCGCATGCTCATCATTAATATGACAGGAAGATCTTGCACCATAATTCCAATCAGGAGACATTTTTTCATCACCAGGCCAAAAGCCTCCACCTACTGACTGAGAAATGAGAATGTTGTCAGCTGCATTTGCTGCCGTCCTACAGTTGGCTTTCTTCTTATCAATTGCAAATGGTGATTCATTATGCATTCTGTTCCTGTCTGAGCTATGGTCCAATCCATTATTCATTGGCCAAGCCATGAATCCAGGTTCTGGGGAACCTAAAATGCCTTTTTTGTTGTCCTCAACCAGCTTTGCAGTATCAGAGACAGCAACTAAATTATTCAGCTTTGGATTATCACAAACTTTATCTACATCAGTCATACTACCATCTGAACCCCGTCTATCATCTCTTAGCCTTTCATTAGAAGTAACTGAATGGCTCATTATTTGTCTATCCAACACCTGATCTTCACCTTGATTACTCCTTGACCTATCATCCATTAATCTTCTAACAGGGCTGGTAAATGCTTGTCTATCATGAGAAAACCTACAATCTTTACCATTTCTACAATTTCCAAAAGCAAAAAATTTGCAAGGAGTATTACCACTGTGGTTGGGATAATGTTGGGCACCCTGCTTGAATGAATTATTTATGTGTCTTCTATCAATTTCCCTTTCCCTAGATGATTCATCTGCAGAAACTATATCAAACTCATCAGAATTGCCATGATGCACATACTTGCATGATTCTCCTGCTCTACACCTTCCCTTTGCAAAATGAATACAAGCTTCATTAGATCTTCGACTTGTAAGAGAATAATCCCCACTCTCACGGGGATTACAATATCTGGGTCCATCTTGCATGTATCTATTTTCCCTACTATCCTCATAACTTTGCTTATCATGGTGAAGGAAATGACAATGGCTGCCTCTTCTGCAATTCCCAACAGCAAAATCTCTGCAAGGTCGTATCAATCTGCCAACCCTCGTTCTGTTCTCATCATCGCCAACCCTCGTTCTGTTCTCATCATCGACAGCTGAATACCTAAACCCACGTGGAGGGCTCCGACTTTGGCTCCTGCTTCTCCTAGAAATGGCAATATCCAAAGAAAAGCAGACAACTAATAAACCACTTGCATCTGGAAATTGCACACAGACATCTCAAAGCTCAAAGATGTAAAATTCCTTTGAGGGGACATAATTTGAACTTATTGACTACCTTGCAGTTGAAGATAGGGAAAATTGAGCAGTCAAATAGTACTGATAGTGATATTACATTGCAATTAAAGAAAATATGTATCCATAAAGAAACGAGTTGAAACACACATGGGACACACCACAGTCAATGTACAACTTTTTCCAGAGGGCCTAAAAGCTTCAGCTTCTAAACTTTTCTACATGACAAAATTTTTTTAATCTAGGGCTATAGGATGTTGTATTAATAGTTAAGATTAAAAACCATTGAAATGTCCCACAAAAATCACATGATCATCTAAAGAATTAAAAAATCAGAGATGACTTTGATTCTTTAGTCTATCACTTCACTCATATATAAGATCCAGTTTTCATGATTGCAAGTACTACTCTGGATTTAAATATAAGCAAAAGTCAATATTTTTTATTCAAATTTAGACCAATTACATTTTGACTTCGGCTTAAACTTAAGGTCGGAGGGAGTAAATATTTAAGCATGAAAACATGAAGTAAAAGGAAAGGAATGATCTAGGGTGTCGATAGCAGTACAGAACCTCAGCCCCACGCTTTTGGGCTGCTAACCGCTATCTAGGGGTGTACAAGAACCGCTCATCCGTCCAAAACCGAAAAAATCGAAGTCAAAAATTCATGAATGTGAGGGTTATAACGGTTCTCGGGTTCATAAAATAAAATTATCAGTTTTATATGGGTTGGATGGGCAGTTTCGGTTTTGTTAAATGCACCCGGATGTAACCGAACCGCCCAAGTATATGTTGCAGAAAATTCTTCAAATTTTTTATTACATGTATCGGTGCTAAGAGACAAAGAGAGGTCAATTCGTGTCTTTTCATTTTGACATTATCTCTTTTTAAAAACAAAAGTAACTTATTTACATAAATATATAATATAGCAATCAAAATGTGGAGAAGATAATAAAAGTATTTTACTATGTCTTTAAAGTATTTTACCAGTATTTTACTATGTCTTTACATAAATTGATGATAAAAGTAAATAAATAATAAGAATGTCTCTTTTATTTTACCAATCACTTTATCGATACTTTCACCTCATATTTCACTATGTCTCTCTCACATCTACAATAGCACAACAATAATGATATATACAATGCTGAAAGTAAATGCAGAAAGATAAATAAAGTACAACACGTATATACATACACCCAAAATATAACCAAGCAAGCGCTAGGATTGACTTGCATAGGGGATATCGTGGTCCCCGGCAGAGTCGCCGGCTGTCGCAACTGCGAAAAACACCCAGCGAAAAACAGAAGAGTCGCCACCTTTCATTATTTATCCCAAAGAGAGAGAAAGGAAACGATCGGAAAAACCTAACGAAAAAGGAAAAAGACGAGGTCATCGTAACCAAGTCCTGGATTCGGGAGTCGGATACGCAAGGGGAAGGTATTAGCACCCCTCACGTCCGTCGTACTCGACAGGATCCACGTTTGTTATCTATTTAAGGGTGTGCTTAAACTATCTACGCTAAAGGTCTCAGGACAAAAGAAAAGAAAAATGACTCGGCAGAACATCGCCGCTCTGTGCCTACATACTCCCTCATGCAACGGGAAAGTCAGAGTCAACGTAGTTCAGCTAACTACGGGCGAAGGGGGGAAGGTTGCTCGCCGAGACATTGCCGTCTCGTGCCTACGTATTCTCATCTGGTATGAGAAATCAGAGCAAACGTAGTTCGGGTTAATGAGAACACCGGTTGGTTCAACACGTTTTACCCGAGTAGGGTTAAACCTTCGTTCTAGCAGTTAGAGATAATGCCTGTTTACGGTAGAACCAAATCTTAACAACACTCTTTTTCATGAAAAGGTTTTCCATTATTAAGGGTCCCAAAGGACAAAAAGAAGTTTGAAGTTGTTTTTGTGTCTTTCAGAGAAGAAGTGTTTTGAGTTTAATTTGTAACTCATTTGCACTAAAGACTATGACCTAGGAGCGAATGTGTCGCATATCGTCCAAAGGACATACGCTAACATTCTAGACAATTGAGAGGCAACCACCCAATCGTCATTTCCCAAGTAGCTCAAGGCTCGTAACGCACAACATTCGTTAACCTTTATTAAGTGTTTTGACATGATTTGAAGATGAGAAGAGAAATGGGACAAACTAAAGGGAGACTAACTCAAACCTAATAGTTGTCATGCAAAATGGTCCTAAGGTTAGGATTGAAAGGGAAACATCTACCCTAATGTTAGCATGCATGCCTTCCAACCTAAAGTCTATCATAACCTCAAAAGAGATTATAGATCCTATAGGGAGCATGGTAAAGAGAGACAAAGGAAGAAGAAAGATCAACCACCAATGAGAGTAAAAATAGGGACGTAAACATGTAATGCAACACACAAGTAAAGGGAGGAACAAAGTGTGGGGGTAAACACCACCACAAGCACATCTCGACCTTTATAAATGCAAGCAAGCAAGCAATCATAAACGTGCAAGCACAAAAAGAAAGGATGGGAGAAGTGAACTCCTACGACCATCGACCATCAACCATCGGAGAAAAGTGGGAGGAAAAGAAGTGCGGGGCAGCAGCCGCCACAAGCGCATCTCGACCACTTGATTCTCACACTCAAGCAAAACAAAAGAAATTGCACATCACTTCGGACAATATATACGAGAGTATGTATCCTAGTGGAAAGCAAACGCGCATGTCGATGAAATCCCGATCAAACAATCACGAACAGCGACACATATCCAAAAAATCCCACTCCTAATGCATCACACTGATCTATGATGATTCGAAGTGAAATGATACCGAAACAAGCATGAAAAACAGCAAAAACAGGCCTGCTGGAGCAGTGTTAATCGATTAACAGCAGGTGTTAATCGATTAACCATTGGAAAACAGTTGGAAAAGTGAAAGTTTGAATCGTGTTAATCGATTAACAGATTACATTAATCGATTAACACTGTGCGAACAACAAAAAAATTGAAAGTTTGATCTGGTTAATCGATTAACACCTGGTGTTAATCGATCAACACTGCTCCAACAACTGAAAACAGCAACAGAAAAGTACTTTTTAGCAAATAAGCACTTATCCGATCCACTGGATGATCGCATAATCACTTAATCACGAAATTAAACCAACAAATCATGATTCAAACAACATACACACAGATTAACACAACCAAATCATGAATCAATCGTATCAAATTAACCAAAAGTTAATCAAATATGAAAATCCACATGATTATGCAAATAAGCTAAAAACAGATTCGGATCCAACCTTTGGAGCGGAGATTTGCTTCGGTTAGTGTTGATTCAACTGTAATTGAACAAATCCGATGCTAGAAGTCCGGAATACTTCAAGATCCACACCAATGCTTGTAGTAGCAATGAAGATCCTTCAAGATCAATCCAAAATAAGCCAAATAATCACTTCCAAAGTCACTTCCAGATTCAGATCCAATTTTGCACGAAAATTGGATGAAGAAATTGAGTCAATGGAGAGAATGGATGAAGGTTTAGCTCTTAGAAATCAAGGATTCCAATGAAGAATCAATGATCTCAATGAGAAGAGCTTTGGTGAGGGTTTTGGAGATTGGAAAATTGTGAGAGAATGAGATCACTTCTGAAAATGAGAATGAATTATGAGTGATTAGATGTGTGAGGTTTGGAGTGAATCACTTAAATATCACTTAGGCTTGGATCCAAATGTAAGGTTTGGAAAATTTGTATTGGAATGAGGAATGGGCATTTGGAGGGAAAATGAAATTAACCAAATTTCAAATAGGTTCTAGATCCTTCCCAAAGTGAAAATCATACTTGCACATGACCAAAATTGGACCCCAAAGTGGTTTGGATTGAAAATTCACATGCAGAAGCAAAATCTGCACTAGTTAATCGATTAACAGTTTGGGTTAATCGATTAACACTGTTAAAAATTCAAATTTGGCCAAATTTTGACTTGGTTAATCGATTAACACTTCAAAAATTTGAATTTGACGCCTTTTGGAGAGAAATCTGCACATTTGCCCGTTTTCAGCCGTTCTGAGCTCTGTTCAACTTCTGAAACTTGCTTTTGAATATCATAACCA